TTTACTCTAAAAAAATTGTTTTTTAAATTATAAAATTTTTTCGGACAAAGGAATTTTATTTTTAAAATGTTCTAATTTTCAAAAATCTATGTAAAAAAATTTCTTTTTCAAATATTGAAAAAATCGTTTTTTAATTATTTTATAATAGAAAAGGTTTAATTACTTATATATTATATAGTTTTATCAATTTAAGTAACACTTTTTTTCTTATAACGTATGATAAAAATGAAACGTTTCGCGATTTTAAAGGGCAATTTTTTTTCTCTTTTTGGCTCTGTCATGACAAATGAGGGCGAATCAAAATTCTAGAGAGGTAAAGAAATATTTTTCTTTCGCCTTTATTCCCCAGTTACATATAATGAAGCACATGCTTTATTTCCTCAGACTGAATGACAAAGCAAAATAATCCGTTTATTTACTTTTCCGCTCATTTTTTTATTTTATTTTCTTTTTAAAATCATCTGTCAGTAATCATTTCACGTTTATCTTAATTTTTGAAGCATTATTCTATAGGGCAATATGTTTTCTATAACGAGAAAACAAATAATCCGATTTGAAATCCCATCAGTCTGAAAATTTTTCATCTTTCATGAATTCTGTCCCAACTCAATTCTGTTAATCTGTCGCGCACATTTTCGGGAGTGATTCTCTGGCGTTTCACTCTTTTTTCTTTCTTTTTATTCATTTTTTTTTTGTTTTTTTGCTTTCTTTCTTTCAAATGCGCCATTTTTCATGTCGGTTCTCTTTTCCACGCAACTTCTCATTTAATTAATGGATTAGTTATCGCGTGTGGAAATATATATGTATACATACACACATACATTGTGCTCGCTCAACGAAAAAGGAATTCGTTTGAGGGAAATGAAAATTTATTTGCTTATGAATTTATCTTAATTTCTTTATTTTTGTGGACTAAACTCTCGCTAAAGAAGTCATGGCAATATTTACTAGAGGGCAAAAAAAGCGGAAAAAAATTTTTTTACGTTTTATATATTCATAGAGATAAATCTACCAGCTGAGAACAGAATCTTTCGAATTTGTTGAACTGGAAGAAAAATCAAACGAACAAAGGGGGAAAAAATTTTTTTTTATGGAGAATCTTTCCATGAACAATGGAGAAAAGTAAAAGAAGAATTAAGTGAACAAAGAAGAAAAAGAAAAGGAGAAACTCAGGTAAACAATGCAAAAAAGAATTCTCAATTCAATTAAATATAAATAAAAGAAGAAAGAGAAACTTACGCGGGGAACAAAAGAAGACAAAAGGGAAAACGATTAAACCAAAATTGAAAGGAAAATAAAAATCAGCTGACGTATGAAAAATGGACAGTTTTTATAAACAAATAAGTCGGCTCAAGAATTTCATTTTGAAAATATACTATTATTTTTCTTATCTTATTACTAATATTTAAGTTATTATTTAAACTAATTAAATCAACTAAATTTAAAATAGAAATTCTGCAATTGCAATCAATGTTTAAAAACAAAAAAAGAATATAAAATAAAACTGAAATAAATATTATCAATGAAAAATTATACTTTCGTAGAATAATAATAAAAAGAAGCCATTTATATTCTCCTCTTGATTAAAATCAATAGAATTTTTGAAAGTTTTGAATTATTTTTACCAATAACAATAAAAAAAAATACTCGCAGCAATAAAACAAACAGATTTTATTCCAAAACATTTTTAAAAAATGGTTGCAAATACAAGAAAGGATCAAAACGCATTAAAAAATTCAATTTTTAATTTTAAAAATTTTTTAGCAATTTTTTGAGATATGTAGATATAGTAATAGAAATAAATATTATTTTAATTAATTAATACAACAATAATAAATAAAAATTTTGCATTATTTAAGATTTGAATAATACAAATTCATTTAACACTTACACTCAATATTAAAAAAAATTTTACTTTGCAGTTTTGAATATTGAAAATGTTGAAAATATTGTTTTTCGAGACATTACTTTATCAAAAATTGATGGACTCGGTGAGAATAGTAAATTATTTTTAAATATCTATACCTCCTTTAGTATTATTAAATCACAGAATTTATAACAATTTAAACATCGTAATATTTCTGCAATATAGTTAAAATTTATTTGAAATGTAAATTTGTATCAAATAGAAATGTTTTATTATCCACATTGTCTTAAATTCTCTGAAATTCAGTTTGCTAATAAATAGGACTTTCAGTTATTCTAAAATTGTTTCCGAAATAATTAGAATATTCTAAAATAATTTAATATTACTTTTCTTAAAAGTTATTTTTATTTATGCCGTATCTTAAGATAATTTAATTATTCTTAAGAGAGACCAATAAAATTCTAATAATAACTAGAAAAATAATAGTAAATAAACCTTTTGAAAAATCGGAATTTAAAATAATTAAAGTATTTTTGTAAAATAAAAAGAATTGTAAAATTAAAATTTTCTAAATTGATTTGTTTTAATTTAAATTTTTTATAAACTAACAATGTAAGTTCTAATCCTGAATTGTAAATTTTGAATTTACAAAATCTTTCTTCTTTAAATTTAATTTTAAGTCGATTTTCACAATATTCTCTTTAATTTTGAATGACATTAAATTTTCAAAAGTTCCAATTTATTCAATTGTCATTTTAGACATTGAATTTTTTAAAAACTTCAGTTGGTTATTTTTTTAAATATGTAAACGAGTGATAAACTGTAGTCAGGAATGTTAATTTTTTATATTATTCCTAAAATTTTAATCCTTTTTCTAATTGAATTTTCAAATTATTTACATTTTTGGAAACATTTTTATAATTGGAATTAAATTTGCAATAAATTTTTATAAATTCATCACGTTTTTAAAAATTGCCTCAAAATTAAAGTTCTTAAAACTGGAAATTGGTATTTCTTCTTGTCATTTATTTTCTGTTTTTTTGTTATGAAGTATTATTTTACCGGATCAAAATTTCGAAAGAAAAAACCGTTTCACATTGAAAATAAAAACGTTTTCTTTTCACTGAACAGTGAATTTTTTTTATACACTCGAAATACTATACACGAAAGAAAAGCATTTAAAAAAAAACACCCGGATTGATTGATAGAAACATCGAAAAGTTGACTTCCTGGATCATTCTTCGAGTATTGTCCGGTTCCCCTAATACAACCTCTGATCGCCTTGCTACAATCCCAACAACAATAACGCAAAAGGTTCCATCAAGTGTCAGACCTTCGTATATACATACACATATAGTGTGAAGATGACAATGTATCCTATTACAAACTTTAAAAATCCATCACACGCAAGAGCCGTCGGATGAATGGAAAAAAGGAGAAGAAGAAGAAGAAGAATCTCGTGTATGTATACATATATACACTGGATTGAAAAAAACACGCTTCGATAGACACGATGCAGCTGTCCTTGGAAAAATCGAAGGAAGGCGATAAACCTCCCGGGATTGACCTTGAAAGCCGCAAAGGGCTTTCTTGTCGTGCGCTTTTGCCTGTAAATAATCTAAGCTGAGAGGTGAGAATGGGAGGGGTTTTTCGTCATGAAAAAACGAGGAGAAGAAACTCACGTGGATAGATGAAAAATTCTGGCCCACGAGCTCCAGCACATCGACGACCAGGCAAGTAAACCGTTTCTACCTGACGCAAATAAAAATCCTGAAGAAACAAAATTTCATACACCGTAAATATTTTCACATTTCACTAAAATTTTACACATTTGTCCTTTTCCTTATTCTCGACCCAGGAAATATCTATTAAAATGTCAAAGAATTTTAATTGTCCCGCGGCAAAAGAGACTTTAATCCACGTGACTGCACAACAGACGTTACTTCTTCTGCGAAAACTAATCAACTTTCTTTTGCTTTTCTTTGGTAAAAACTTTTTTCTTTTTTCAACACTCAAATTATTGCCTCTTCTCGAAAAGAGGATCAAATTTCTTCTTTTTTTGCCGGGTGACAGTGATAAATCTGCTACTGTTTTTTTGTCAAATTCTCCTTTTTAAAAAAGGTGAATGACTTCTTTTTTAATTACTCCTTTTTTCAGGACAGTGAGAATTTTTCTGGTGCTTTATTTTATTTAAAAGCATTAAATTACTTTCAGAGTTAGGTAAAAAATGTTTGCTTCTTTACTTCTTTCCTTAAACTTTTTTACTCGTGTAAAATTTTTTTACATCCAAACACTTTACTTAGTACGATAAACTCCTTTTACAACAATGAAAAGATTTACGTGAGTAACTTATTCCTTTACATAAAACTTGTTTAATCCTGTAAACACGATTTACTTTCTCCTCTTTAAAATCACTTCAGCTCGTTCCACTCTTGTTTTTTAAAAAAGAAAATCACTGTAAAAAATTTGTCATCGAAACACTAAAAATGTTTCGAAAAGAAATAAGCAATTATGTGTTGTAGAAGTAGTAGTTTAAAAATCGAAAAAGGAGGTAATTGTCAGTGAAAAAAGTCGACAACATGGAACTGTTATTCAGGAGCCACACACGCGCGACCCGGCCATCGTGCGGCTTTCGTCTGATATGAAGGTATAACTCGCACGCAACGCAGAGCTGATGAGGGTAGAGAAAAGAGGGGAGGATGTAGAGAGAGAGTCGAGGGTGGATGGAAGGGGCGAGCGCAAAAAAAAATTCGAGCGGGGGTGGAACTTGTAGAGCAAAGAAGAGAGAGAAAAAAGAATAAAGTAGAGAGAGAGAGAAGAGAGAGAAGGAAGGAATGAACGCCTCGTGGTTCACCTAGAGATTTCGGCGTGTATCGCAGACTGAGGCTCCGATCTCACTGATTCGAAGTTGAACTATGTTTCGCTGAAAGACTTGTGCGCAGCCGACAACCACCGTCACGACCATCGCCATCCCATATAGTTAACCCCCTCAAAACATGAACCAGCGCCCTGCCCGCCTGTTCCTCTAGCGAGAGAGTTGAGCTAATCTCGAAGCTGAGCGAATATATGTACAAACACTAAAGTAAAATAAGGGTAAAGACTCACTGTGTGTATATGTAGTTGACTCTCATACCTGTCGAGATCCTCCTCCTCCTCCTCCTCTTCTTCTTCTTCTTCTTCTTCAACTCTCGCGTGCCACTCAAGGGAGTGCAATTCCAACCCTCCACTCGCTCCAAGGTTTCTAATAACATTGCGGCTGGATCTTTGATGAAGCTAGATTGATGGTGTTTTGTTTGTCTCTGTTCTTTATGAGCTGCCTCCTCTCTCTGCCTACTGGATATATACTTTAACGAGGCGGGGGTGTGCCTTCAGTCCAGACAGATCTCCCGGTGTTATTGTATTACGAGCACCTACAATCAAGATATTCAATTAATAACAATGTTCTCTGTGTTTCAATCTCACGTCAAAGATATATACATATTTTGACTGACAAGCGATAACAATGACCAACGGGTTAAATTTAATTTGATGGAAGCGATAATTAATTTGTCAGATGTATGTAAATTTTGAATCAGTCAATTGGAATTGAGTGATTTTATAGGATTACATGGGAACAATGCTTTTAATTCATCATTTCCATCGAAATACTCATTTTTTTAGTCATTTTTATAAAACTTATCTATTCACACACTGAAAGAAAAATACATTTTTCTCACATAGTATACTAACCTTTTTATATTCCTCTATAAAAAGAATAATATAAATTTTATTTGTTTCTAATGAAAAATTTTACTTCCACTCAAATAAAATTTATTTGTGCCAACAAAATTTTTTAATTGAAGCAAACAAAGAGGCTAGTATACTGCTAGACAAATAAATATTCGTTTGCTAACTCCTATAGTACACGGAGAAAAATATAGAGGAACTTATATTTACAAACTAAAACGAAAACTGTCTAGAACTTCGGCGCATTTCTGTCAACTTTTACTGTTTTCAAAGTGAATTTTGCTACGCTCGAAGTACATTTTACTAATATTTATAAAAATGTACTTCGATCGTAGCAACTTTTACCCCGCAAAAGTAGTAAAAATTGTCAAAAATGTGCAGAAGTTCGAGAAAATTTTGGTTTTACTTTGAAAATAGTCATTTACTCATTTTCTCCGTGTAAAAATTTTAACATAAATTACTAGAAATTCACATACACTGAAAGACTTTTTGTTTCAAAATTTAATATGATTCATTTCAAACAGGGGAAAACGATGTTTTTAGATTATTTAATCGTATAAACGTATCAGCTATTAATTTAATTCGTACTAAAGATTGGTACCGAACATACTAATTTATTTTTTGTATTATTTATACCAATTTAATATAAGCAAATTCAAAATTTACCTCCTTTAGAATTATAGAATCTGGAAAAAACAAAATTATTTTAGAAATTAGTTTACAAAAATTGATTTTTTTGTCAAACAAAATGAATTGTCAAAAATTGAAATGATTATTTAAGAAATATCGAAAAACTTGTAATTTTACTGTATAATAGAAATTTAATGAAAAAAAATCTTACCAAACAATTTCAAGTGCAGAAAGTATGGTAATCATGTCACAATTGCTCCGCTTCTGGGTCATCAAAGTGTAATTTAATATCAATCTCAGTGGCATTGTTGATAATTCAATGCAGTTTTGTTATCATTTCTTGTTTTGAGAAACTCTTCAAGTGTTGTCTGTGTATATATACCTATAACTCATTCTCCAGCGAGGAAGTTGAAAACTTTTCTCTTTAGACAATTCAATATATATTCTTGATCTGGAGCACCACGTCTGAAAATGAAACAATGAATTAGTTACATTATTGCAAATTAATATTAAGGAACAATAATAAGAAATTCATAATAAAGTTTAAAAAAACATTGAAAATATATTGAAAATTTGTAAACTGATAATTAAATTTCAAAAAATATAAATTTTAAGCACTATTTTTTTTGGTTTTGTCAAATTTGCATACCCAGAGAAATGTTTCTTTGAATCAAATAAAATTTATTTAATCTAATTAAAAAATTTACTTGATACAAATACAATTTTTTTTGAAGTAAATAACATGCTTAATTAAATTAAATGAAATTTACTGTAGACAAATTAATTATATTCAAAATAAATCAAAATTGATTTGAAAAAAATGAGTTTTATTTAAATTAAATCAAATTTATTTGGAGCAATTAAATAAGTTAGTGGACTCTAAGATATGTTCTTTCTCTGCGAACATTTATCATCTATGATAAAGAAAAATATGTAAAATTTAAAGATTCACCCAATGGAAAAGTGTAAACACAAATATAATAATTCAAGTCAAAATAAATTACGTCTTTAAAGATTTTTCAAAACAAAAAAAATATCTATTACACGAAATTGCATATTAAATATTTTCCTTCAGCCAGAAAAGATGTGATGAAAAGTAAGTCAAGCTCTAAAATCCCCTATCTCCAATAGAGGATAAGCAGATTTCTCCTATATACCAGAATATTTCTTTTCTGCACAGGGATTTTGCTGACAAAAATTTTCCAAGAAAACTCCTATACTTTTTATCATCCAGAGATGCGAAAAAAAATGAAAACAAAAAGAAAGTGTAATTTTCTTCTTTTTCTTTTAAGAAAGTCTAGAAATATTATGTGGGGCCGTCCATAAATTACGTAACACGTTTTTAGTGAAATTTTGAACCCCCCCTCCCCTTATGTAACAAGTTATAACAAAATCGTTTTACACCCCCCCCCCCTATCAATGTTACGTAATTTTTAAAAATATTTTTTTTACTAACGTTTTTCGAAACAAATTTGTTTATTACTGTTATTTTTAGTATTTATATCGTACAAATAGCAATACAAAATTAAGTTAAATATAAAAACATTTAGAGGAATAATTTTATTAATCATACTGAACAACCAAAAATATAACATTGATTTTTTAACAATAAAAATTGTATATTATTCCCAAGAATCGATTCGCGAAATGATTCGATTTTTACTTATTTTGAAGTGGCGGCAAGGGACAGCTTTTCAAAAATTTATCTATTATAAAGAGATTAAGTTCCTTATAAATATTACGTAACAATGATGATTGACCCCCCCCCTCCCATGTAACATATGATAACATTTTCTCGAACCCCCCCTCCCCCCTAAACGTGTTACGTAATTTATGGACAGCCCCTGTTTGACTTTTTTGTATTGGCTATTATAATATAAAGGAAGATCATCGCCAAAGAAACCCTAGTTTTAAATGAATCATATTCAACTCTCGAAGGTTAGAGGGTAAAAAGCCAAGACCGAAAATTCGCCGCCTCAGGTCGGTGTTCTTTCTTTTATCCTCCCATTAAAGAAAGAAAGAAAAAATCTTTCCCCAACAGATATATGTATAATAGACTCCGACTCCCCTTAGTGTATTAAAATTTATATGAATTGCTGCTTCCAAGCTGTTAAATTTCAGATATGCTAAAAAATATTCACATACACAGCAATATCCCTAAGTAATAAGATCATAATTCCTACAATAAAGCTCAAATTTTCTCTAGAAAGTCGACTATATATATTCTCAAATTTTTTTCCATAACAATATTAGACTCTTTATTGTTATGAGTTTATAATCTCGTAACTTGCAAGGCTAAGATTTATTATAATCTAAACATATATAAAAATTAATAGTAAATACAAACATAAAAATCAAATAAATATACTAGAAAAAGAAGTTTAATAATAATAATAATAATTTTCTTTAATATTTAAAAATATATTCATTAAAAATTGTAGATTATCGTGAATATATTACGCGTCTATAGTTATAAATAAATCTGTTTTAACTATGCGCTTTGTGTAGAAAAAACTTAATTATTCACCGATGACTGCACAATATCAAACTCGGAAATTCAAGCACGGTACAAAGGATATTGAACTCTCAGACGCGCTTTCATGGGAATAACACTTAAATTTAACGAACCTATTATCACTGAGAAGGCAGAATAATTATCTCCTCTACTCAAATTCTAATTTCTAACTTTTTTTCCTTTTTTTTATGACAAATTTCATTGAATCGTACAGCGCGGGTGAATCGAAGTCTCGATTTCAGTAATGAAAAGCTACTAATCCGATTTCCGTGAAATTTCGATTTAACAGCTATCAAATGAAGATCACGAGGTGCTAGCTTAACATAAAAGGAAAACTCTACTCAGGATCTTTAATATTTTACACTCACGATGAAAATTAATATTCAGCTTTTCAAGGGAGAATGTAAATAAAAACAAATGCTATAATAAATAATAAGTGAATCTATTTTTAAACTCTAAAAAGCTGGAATTTAAAAAAAATGAAATCTATTTCTCGGCGCAGTGACGCGCGAGAAAAGAAAAAAAAATACCGTCAAGATGGAAAATTGTTCCCAAAGGAATAAGAAAGAAAGTTTACTTGATTCTCGAGGGAAATTCCCATAGTGTTCTTTAACCAATAAATCAATTACATATTTTCAATTTATACATGCGTATATAGTTTTTTAGAAAGAAAGAAGTGGAAGCCCTGACTAATTTCTTTAAAATACTTAAAATTCAGTAAGTGTCCTGACGAACCTTCCGGTAGTAAAATAAAAAAAATAATAAAAGAAGGGGACTGTGAACACTATTAACTATACAAGTATAAATGTGACTCGCAAGCTTACCAAATGTAACGCGGCGTACATACAAATGCACTTTCATAACGATAAGCGCCACTTTATTATTATGCAGAAGACGGTGCTTGGCAGTCTAAAGTTTCAATCGCATAAACCTAGACGTGGCAGACGCTATTGCGCCAAAGGAAAAATGAACCGCGAGAGATTCCGCGAGACATGCTTTCCCAAGGCAAGAAACGTGTATATGTGTATAGCAAGTTTCGTAAAGTTGTAGTATAAGTGTATTTTCAGAGAATACACATCTTTGGTGGTGAAATACCCACAAGAATTTGGCTCCGAATCTTTCCCTTCTCCTATATCGCAACCATTGGCGGAGAGAGAGAGAGAGACTTGGCTCCCGTCCCGGCGGACTGCTCGCGAATTACTTACACATTGTTTAAATGCAAAAAATTTCGATTGAAATGACGAAAATTAAAACGAGAACTAAGATAGGTCAGAGGAAAGCTGTGCCAAAGCCATAAAACTTGTGGCTTTCGGTCGATGCCCTTTGTATGGAGCCAACGTTTAATGTAAGACGTCCGGCTCTACATTTATATAAAAGTACAGAGAAATAAATTGTTTAATCAATTTTATATACAACTACTTTTAAGATTTTCCACTTAGGAAAGTTAAACACAAAATGCTTTGCTCTACTTGTAAAAAAAGTCATTTCTTTTATTTAGAGAAAAAAAATTTTAAAATCCAACTATTAAGATGATAATAATTAAATTTACTATTTACTATTATTTGAGAAAAATGTGTAACCCAGAAATTATCGAATTTCATATAATATTAGAATGCAAATGCTAAGTTATTCGGAATTCTGATTAATTTAAATTAGTTTCTGAATTTGCATTAAATCAGATTCAGTGAAAGAGTCTTCATTTCCATCAGTGTGCTCTTTTAATTTAAATAAAAGTTTAAAGTGGGACACTATTTTAAATTAGTTAATTTATGTTAATCAGATGCTAATTTTTTTGAGTTTATAACATTTTTATCATTATATTACTTTCATTATTTTCAAAAACTAAAGAATGAGTGCAATATTACTTAAAAGATAAGAAAGAGGATTTACTCTCTAAAATAGTCTAATTCAAATTATCATAAATTTCTTTAAAACTATATCATAATTCGTGTTTATCAAGTAATTAAAATTGTCTTTTAGTTAAATTACCGAATAAAAATTATAATGTATAATAATAAATTTTTTTTTTCGAAACAAAAAATGCCAAGTAGTCAAAGGATTTTCGAACAAGTGATATAGAATAGAATCAGATTCATATTCTGATACTTGAATATCACAAAATCGAACTGTCGTAACAAATGAGGTATATAATTCCAAAATGTCAGTAAATCTACAGCTGTAATTGAATCCAATTAATTAAAATTCTAATTAAATTGAACAATAAATTGATATACACTTTATCAGTATAATTAAATTCCTCCCACTAAGGATCAAAAATCTTGAATCAGAAAATAAAACATCTCAAGATTACTATCAATCCGTCAACAAAACTGTAAAATTAGCCCCTGACAACAGAACCAACAGAAAGAATATCTATATAACATCGAAACTATATGTAAAATCGATTGGCCCAAACACAATAAAAGCCATTTTCGAATATAGACAAAAAGAAGAAGTGCACCTGGTATAAATATTTTTTCTCTTCTCTCTCTCTCTCTCTCTCTCTCTCTCTCTCTCTCTCTCTCTCTCTCTCTCTCTCTCTCTCTCTCTAAATGACTCGGATAGTTAATCTTATCTTAATGGTCCAAGTGTAAGGATCTCCAGGAAATAGGAATGATGGAGTTATTTGACCGGACGTCGTATAGATATATGTGTGTGAGTGTATATATATATATATAAATAAGGGAGATGAAGGTTTCTAGAGTCAGGGTCGAAACAGCATGCTGCCAGAGAAATTGGGGTTGCTGATTGTTATCGAAACCAGCAGCATTCTTGAAGCGAAGTTTAATCTAATATCGTTCTCCAACATCGTATACTGATACTGATAACATCACCCTGCAGCCTCTTAACTTGCCCAATAACTTCTTGTGTCAATGTGTTGGTTTTACCTGCATTGCTCATTTATGATTATGATCCTTAGGAAAGAATTTTCTTTTTGTTTTTTTAAAAA